GGCTTTTCCTGTTAAATCCGTGAGGGGCGCCATTATTGTCGCATGGTGTGGGAGGAATCGTGCGATATAATTGACTAGCCCAAGGAACCGTTGTAGTTCCTTCTGTATTCGTGGTGTAGTCCAGTTTGCAATAGATTCTATTTTCCCAGGGGCGGCATGAATTCCTTGATCATCGATTACATGGCCTAGGATTTCGAGCCTATTTGCAAACAGGGTTGTCTTTTTCCTGCTGGCATAGAATTTTTCCTGTCGCAATTTCTCGCACACCATCCTTATGTGCTGCGCATGCTCTTCTTCAGTATTCGAGTAAATTAGGATGTCATCAATGTAGACCCACACAAAATGGTGTAGGTACTCGCTAAACAGGTTTTCCATAATGCGCATGAACGTGGCGGGCGCATTAGCATCTCCTTGCAGCATGACTCTGCTGATGAAGGTCCCAAATGGTGTCTTGAATGAGTTTTTTGATTGGCTTTCTTTGTCCACCCTTGTTTGAAAATAAGCGTCGCTCAAGTCTATCTTGCTGCGGTATTTTGCACGGCCTACTGCTTCTAGGATCTCGGTTTGATTCGGGATTGAGGAGCTGTCTATCACAGTATTGCTGTTTCGGAGCTTGAGGTCCACTAGTGGTCTGATTCGCTTCCCATCTGTCTTTGGTTGGACAAACATAGGTGCTGCACCTGGTGCCTGGTTTCTGTAGATTACTCCTCTTCTCATCATCTCATTGATCCAGTCCCTTAGCTGGTCTTTGTAGGCATCGGGAATCAAGTAGGTGGGTTGGTTCTTAAGGTTGTTCGGGTCTTTGAAGGTGATGTGGTGGTTTTCTGCACGCATGGGCGGTAGCTTTTCCGGGATCTTGTCAGGGAAAACATCCGCAAACTCTTCTAGTAGTTCATGGACCGTTGCTTCGCATACTGCAGCTCGATATTCTCCACTGGTAGGGGTGCAGGATACCCGGACTCTCTTGTCTGGGAATTCTATGACAGACTCGCCGCACCTAATGACTGCGTTATGCCGGGTGAGGAATGGCATTCCGATAAGAGCATCGAATTTAGCTACATTTCCAAGTAGCATTTTGTGTTCCGGGAACTTGACAGATCCTAGCTGGATTGAGACATTTGCGGTTTTATGGCTAGTGGAGCGGGATCCTTTTACCGCCATGGCCACTGGGATCGGCTGTTGGAGGGCTTCGGTTTTGAGTCCATGAGTAGCTGCAAAGGTGTTGCTGATCATGTCTGTACCAATGGCTCCTGTGTCAAAAAGGACTCGAGCAGGGTGTCCATTAATCTGGATGGTTCCTTCTAATGCTCGGTGGGGCTTCTTGCCGGGTTTCGGCTGGACCAGGAAGCACTGTGCTTCCATGGTGTTGATTTGCACGTCCTCGTATTCATCTAGTTCTATGAAATTCGCTGCGGGTTCCTTTTTGATCACCTTTCCTTTTCCTTTCTTAGCTGGACAATCTCGGGCCATATGTCCGGTCTTTCCGCATTCGAAACACTCTCCTTTTTCTCTTCGTTTCTCCTTAGTGGATTGCTTCGCATTTCTCTGAAACTTGGACTTCTTTGCCCTTGATGGTCCTGGTCCGTTGTCTTGCCGTTCCCTTCGAGGTGGTGGCGAGGGTTTCATCCCATAGGCATTGGTTTCATGCAGTATTGCATCCTTTCGTTCTGCTTTCTTTATAATGTCATGGATGTCATCATCATCTTCTTCCATCGGTTCTACTTCCCTTCGAAGTAGGGGATGCATTGCATCATAGAATCGGCGCTTCTGCATGTAGGCCGATACTGCACCCCGGGGCATGCGTTTTGCGTAGAGCAAGAGGTCTGTTGCTATTTTGGTTATCCGTTCTGTTTTTCCGCCGTGGGTCTGGCTGATGTTGTTGAAAGCTTTGAATATCTCTTCGCTATTGCGGGATGACTGGAATCGTTCCTTTAGGGCTTCTAGTACCCTTGTCGCTCTGGCTCCTTCACCGTATGCGTCCATGCACTGTTGGTAGGCATCGAGGGCTCTGCCTTCACAAAAGGCTCCGATATACATTCCTGTGTTGTGTTCCTCAATGTTGATGCCATGCAATCTTAGGTACTGGTGCACTGCTGTTTCCCATCGTTGGAAAGCTTCAGGCTTCAGGTCCTCACCTTTTCCTGAGAAATTTGCAGGCAGAGGGAGTTTGATCTTAGGAGGACTGGCTGGTATGCCACCGGGTCCATGTGCTCCTGCGGGAGGGTCTGGTGGTCCCGGGGGACCTCCGGGTGGTTCTCTTGCTGAGGTTGCCATACTGTCTTCTCCATCGCTACTGCTGCTGCTACCGTTGTCTTCTGGGCCAGGTGCCGCACCTGTGCCTTCTGTTGGTGGTCTTGATGAACTTTCGCTAGTTCCAGGTTGTTTTCCCTTTCCGGGGGTAACTGGAAAGCCTCCGGGTGTGGATAGGCTTTGTTGGCTGAACTCTTCCTTGGATCCCTTGAAATCCTGAGCTGCCTGGTCTCGTGCTAGCTGCCTTCCTGGATCGTCGATTGCGAATCCTTCTTTCGGGCCTGTCGCTTGGCCTGGTCTCTTAGGCTTCGTTAGCCCTTCTCTGGAGACCTGTTTCCCACTGTGCGTCGTGAGAGGGTCTATGGTGTAGGCGGGGTAGGCGGGCCACTGTTGGGCTTCTCCGCCTTCGTGCTAGCTTTATTGGGTTGTGCCTGTCGATCCGTGATCTTGCACACAAGTTTCTAACCACTTGCTGAGGTTAAAAAAATGTAACGTGTTCGCACCGGGGTGCTAATCACGCTTCCGGGTACAATAGGAGTAGCGCACAAGCTGATCAACAACCTATGGGCGTACTGCGCTAAGGGAGGCTCTGAGAGAAAGATATAAAGAATAGGGACTTGAAGGGGTAACCGTTCAACCAAGTATATTAGAAATACTCTGTCCGTCGAAGTCTGCTGTTCCTCTAAGGGAATCAACGGCCTTTAAATACAAACTTCGTCCATGTCCTGCATGGACGGATTTCCAAATCCTACTTTAATAAACCCATAAAACAAACTGAGTATCAAACGATACTCGAAACCACAAGTAAAACAAACTGAGTATCAAACGATACTCGAAACCACAAGTAAAACAAAACATAAAACAAATCCTTGAACCGAACGGACTGAACTCCAGGTCCGGTTACAGAAAGGATGAATCTGACAGAGCAGTTCTCTTTTGTTCAGGCAGTCCGGGAGTCGGAAAAACTGATCTTAGGTAGGAAGACTGAGAGATTTTATATATAGAGAGTGTGGGCTGTCGATTGCTAACGACGACATTAGCTCTCTGGTGATTGATAGGTTGTACGATAAGAGTGTGGGGCAGAAAGTGGCCGTCGCCTGCTTCTACTGCGACTTCCAGCACCAAACGATCCAAACCCCGGAGAATATACTGGGCGCGCTTCTCAAGCAAATTATACGGGGTTTAGGAGTGATTCCCGGCGAAATTGACGATGCATTCCAGAAAGCAAAAAGTCAGGTTGGCAGTCGAGGTCTCCTGGTCTCCGCGCTCCTTCCACTCTGACAGGCTGCAATTGCTCCACTGGAGAGGGCTTTCATCTGCATTGATGCCTTGGATGAATGCCTCGGGAAGCATCTGCCTGAACTTCTACCTTCATTGTATACCATTTCCCAGTGGTCGCCTAAAATACGGCTGTTTATTACTGGACGGCCCCATATCCATCGTGAGATTGAGAAACATTTTTCCGAGGGCGCACAGCTCGTCGAGACAAGGCCGAGGATGGAGGATATTATGAAATACCTGCAGATGATGCGGGACAGAGAGCCGGAACCTGAAGCAATGAACGCCGATCTTAAGGCTGAAATCATGAAACAAGTTTCGGAAACTATCTCGGAGGTGTATGTAGTGGCACTTCTTATTCCTGAATCAAGAAAAATCACTGACTATGGGACCTAGATTTCTACTGGTTTCACTAAAGGTCACAGCGATACTGGCGGAGGCGACAATCTACGATCCGCCAAAGCAGCTCAAGAGAACGAGCAATGGACTCGGTTTAGGCGATTCCTATCGTGCGGCCCTGGATAGAATGAAGGCCCAAGGGGGAGCCAAGTCGAGATTCGGAATGGCCGCCCTAATCTGGATCTCTCGATCGGAGCGACCAATGACTGCGGATGAGTTATGTCACGCCCTACGCGTGCGAATAGGGTCCACCGACCTCAACACCGAACGTGTTCCCTCCATAGAAACATTGCTGGCCTCCTCCCTTGGACTTATGACCATCGATGGCACAGGATCCACGGTACGCATGGTGCACTTCACACTTCAAGAATACCTCGGCAGCTGCCCGGGAATCTTCCGGAACCCGTATGTGACGATGGCCGAGGTTTGCTTGACCTATCTTAGCTATAATCATGTTAATCAACCTTCGACTACCCTCGACTCTACTCTACCAACCACCCCATTCCTTGAATACCCTTCCACATACTGGGGACCCTATGCAAGAAAGGAAACCACAGAAGGCGTCAAATTGCTGGCACTTCGAGTTCTAGCTAATTTTGATGGGCATGTATCGGCAGGACTACTCCTACCCCAGCCCATATATTGGCTTTGTCGAAGACTTGGGATCCGAGTTCCAGGATTTGCTGGCCTTCACTGTCTTGCTTATCATGGTATCGATGAGATTGCAAGCAGTGTATTGCAGACGCACGCTGGTGACCCCAGCAAGGCCGATTCCTTGGGCTTTACACCATTGATGTGGGCCGCTCAAAACGGACACGAAGGCATGGTAAAGCTATTACTCAAAGAGAAAAATATCAATTTAGAAGCTCAGGACGCCGAATGGGGACGAACAGCGCTCTCTTCGGCTGCCGGTGCTGGGTATGAGACAATAGTAAAGGTCCTGTTAGATCAGGGAAAGGTCGATGCCAAATCCCAAGACTGGAGAGGTAGAACACGCCTGTCCCACGCTGCGGAGTCGCAGAAAGTGGAAGTCGTCACGATATTTCTGGAACGGGAAGGTGTCAATGCCCAACTGCCAGGCAATGATGGTAGAACACCCCTCTCCCACGCTGCCGAAGAGGGAAGTGCAGAAGTCGTCAAGCGGTTTCTGGAGCGGAAAGAGGTCGAGGCCGAATTACAGGATGATACGGGTAGAACACCCCTCTCCTACGCTGCCGAAATGGGAACAGTGGAAGCCGTGAAGCTGTTTCTTGAACATCCAGAGGTCAATGCCGAACTGCGAGACAATAGTGGGAGAGTTCACCCCTACGCTGCAGGGTCGGGAGCAGTGGAAGCTGTCAAGGTGTTTCTGGAGCGGGAAGGGGTTAATGACGAATTGGGGGATGATGATGGCAGAACACCCCTCTCCTACGCTGCCCAGCAGGGAAGCGTGGAAGATCTCGCTTCCTTAGGCTGCTTAGTCAACCTCTCATTTGCTAGTAGATCAAAACACCTCTCCTTTTCTCCTTTTCCCTCTCTCACCCACTCTCCATTTTCTCTCGGCCCTTCTCGATCTCCACATCCATCCTCCTAACAACTTCTCATCAAAATTTAATCTTCAACACCTCTGTGACAGACATCTTTACTTCCGTACTCTGTCTACTACTTGAACGCAAGATGTTGGCTGGCTTAGTCTACTGTCAGGTAGACAGAAATAATTCCAAGACTCCCGATCAGAATGACCATGAACTTGTTACCGAAAGATTGAAAAATCTTATTCCAACGATCTCACCAGTGATGACAGGGAGCTATAGTAGCCCTGAAACAACTTATTGTAACGACGCCGGCCGCGGGATCCTCAGTCGATTAAGGAAGATGGAAGAAAAAGTGAACCGGTTACCGGCCCTTGAAGCAGAAGTTGTTATACTTCGTCCTCTCTGGAAGACTGCGGTGGGGATTCGAGCAAGATTTTTTGCAACCTCACGAGTCCAGGCCGGGACGGGAGGCATTGGTCTCCGGGCGTCCATTGATGATGGCAATGAAGTCGCACACGGTAGTGACGTAGTGACTGATACCTGCCTTCTAAAGCATGGTCTGATCCAATATCATCAAACGTTCACATATCTATACGGAATGGACTGGAGGTCAGCGATGAATTTGATTGGTAAGCTGATAAATTGTTTTTAAATGCTCTATTGTGCGATAATTGCTAACAGTATCCAATAGATTATCCTCATCTTGTTGAGGCGATGAATTACCGTGCGGGTGTCCTCCACGATAATCCTAGTTGGACCAAACAATCCGAGTTCGATTCCGTTACTTCCCGGACCCGCAACGCCCCTCCCCCTGAGATCACAGCATTTGCTGCTGATACAGTTGGCATGACAGCAATCAGACGCAAGTTTCTTTACATGGTGGGCAAGCTCTGATGCTAGTGGCCTGTGGGCTTTTGGTTACGGTTGGTGAATAAAGGGGTTACAGTTGTTTTTGAGTTTCCTTGTGGGGTTGGACGGCAATGGAGGCACTTGTACGTTTTTTTGTTCGGCAAAAGTGGCCTGCTTTATTTTTCTTTTCATCACGTTTTTTTGACTTTCAAGGGCTTTCTTCCTATGGTTTCTTACACCTTTTCCTTTACCCACTTGTATTTACCAAAAGTTCATGCGTCTACGAGGAGTGACGGTTGGAACTTGGTGTGGTTATCGCACTTGTATTGCTATCACTGGAATTGATGAGGGCAGGGAATGCTTCTCTAGTGCATTACCGATGGCCCATTCTACCGTGTTTTCACTGAGAATTGCTTTTTTGGTGTTTACTGGCTGCTGTGGTGTAAGATGCCTTACAACCTGATCGCTTTTCACCCGCCGCCACATTGATCATCCTCCTATTCCCTGTTTTGGCACCATAAGTTTCCTATTTTTTCATTCCTGCCCGAGTACGGTACGGTATCCCAGTATTTACAGTGCTAAATGAAGTTCCTGTTCTGTGGGTGAGAAAACTCCTGAATTTCTAAATTCCTGAGATACTTTACCAGTAAGAGTTCGACAAGCAAGTCATCAGTTACGCTGGAGATGTTCGTTCAATTTTTGCGAGTGGTCGGTCGCCGCAGAGGCCTGGTCAACTAGAACGTGGAAAGTTCAGTTTAAAGCTCCACAGCAGGTTAGGATGTCGGGCGCCAAGATTGGGTCTTTGATCCCTGGCTTTCAAGGAGCACCATCGCGTACAAGGACAGAAATAGTTACACAAGAGACCCTAGGATGGACATCGGGAACAACACGACCACCTCTTCCAGCCAGTTTCGGCCCGGCAAGTTACCGGTATTCTATCCACAACCTCATTGCTACAACACTTGCTGTTTCTGCCAGCTACCTGACAACATGGCAAACATGAATCCACGAACTACTATCGATCCTAGCACCACCGGGACAGGCCACACAGACAGCTTTAACGTAGTAAACAGCTACAACACTACATATCTGGACGAAAAGTCCAAGATTTTTTAGTGGCTATCACCACTGGAGCCTCGCATGCGCCACCAAGATGTGCGCACCAGCCGGCTAGAGGGTATCGGGGAATGGCTTTTACAAAGTGACGAGTTTGTCAAGTGGCGTGATGGAAAGGATGAATCTGACAGAGCAGTTCTCTTTTGTTCACGCGCTCTGGGAGTCGGAAAAACTTATCTTAGGTTGGAAGACTGAGCGATTTTATATCTAGAGTGTGTGCGCTGTCGATAGCTAACGACGACATTACCTCTCTGGTGAGTGATAGGTTGTGCGATAAGAGTGTGGGGGAGAAAGTGGCCGTCGCCTGCTTCTAACCATGCCAAGGTTGTGCCGGAGCCACAACCCACAGTCGCTCGCGCGACCCCGGGCACTCTCCTCCAGAGAGTGCCCCACAGCTCAACGTCAGAATCGGCTCAACGTCAGATTTCTACAACCAAACCCCCTACCACATACAAACCCACAACAACAAAGTTCAGAAATGGCTGAAAATTATTCCCAGATCGAGGCACGGATTGAAGAAGCATGTAGCAAGCTACATGAAATCAACAAACCAAACATCTCCGCAATTGCTCGTCCATTTCAAGTTCCAGAAAGCCGCCTCCGTGCATGGTGGAAAGGACGTCCAACACGAGAAGAAAGGCCCGCAGCAAACAGGAAGCTCAGTGAGGCCGAAGAGCTTGCAGTTTGTATATATTTAAAGCGCTTGGACACAATTGGGATATCGGCTCGACTTCCAATGATTACCCATTGTGCGAATGATATGCTGAAACGAAATCATACCAGTAATGGAATAGAGGATTATCCACTGGCACCTACGGTCAGCGAATCTTGGAGCCAATGCTTTCTCGAACGTCATTCCGAATTTCACATTCGGAAACAAAAGACAATGGAAGAGGCACGCAAGAATGCTCACAACCCTGCTGTTATCTTGAACTGGTTTGCGCGGTACCGGCAGGTATGTGAAAAGCATGGAATTCAGGAAGGAGATATATATAACTTTGATGAAACAGGCTTTCGGATTGGGGTTGGAAAAAGCCAATGGATCATAACGCTTGATCCGACTCGTCAATCCTATCTAGGAAGCTCCACGAACTGAGAACTTGTCACTTCCTGCGAGACGATAAGCGGAAATGGTACCGTTTTAACGCCCATGCTGATTTTGCCGGGGTCATTGCATATGGAGGATTGGGCAACGAAAACGGATCTCGAAGATAATGTCTTGCTGGCTGTGTCTGAATCTGGTTACTCCAATGATATGCTAGGTCTGGAGTGGCTTCTGCATTTTGATCGGTTTTCTGCACCTCTGAGAATGGGAGCAAATCGTCTGCTTTTATTAGACGGTCATGGGTCACATTGTACTTGTGAATTTGTCACCTATTGCGATGAAAAGAAGATTATACCATTCTGCTTACCCCCCCATTGAACCCACTTGCTTCAGCCACTCGACGTCGTTGTTTTTGAACCCCTCAAGCATTTCCATGCAGAGGCGATCGATCAGGCAACACGAACGGCTGCTCAGACTTTAACAAAATCCAGTTCTTATCAGCGATAACATCAATCTGACAGCATGCTTTTAAGAAGTCAACTATTACCTCCTCATTCCGAAAGACAGGACTCATTCCATACAATCCGCATATTGTTCTCTCTCATTTGCCTGAGTCTGACAACTATTGCCCAAGCCCAACCTACAATCCTCCTACAACTCCTCCTCCGACCTATCCAGAAGCAGTTTCCACTCCTCATACAATTCGATCACTCGAGCGTCATGGGAAATACTGTAACCGGAACTGGAGTTCAGCTCGTTCGGTTCAAGGATTTGTTTTACTTGTGGTTTCGAGTATCCTTTAATACTCAGTTTGTTTTACTTGTGGTTTCGAGTATCCTTTGATACTCGGTTTGTTTTATTTGTGGTTTCGAGTATCCTTTGATACTCAGTTTTGTTTTACTTGTGGTTTCGAGTATCCTTTGATACTCAGTTTGTTTTATTTGTGGTTTCGAGTATCCTTTGATACTCAGTTTGTTTTACTTGTGGTTTCGAGTATCCTTTGATACTCAGTTTTGTTTTACTTGTGGTTTCGAGTATCCTTTGACACTCAGTTTGTTTTATGGTTCGTTTAAAGATGATTTGGAAATCCGTCCATGCAGGACATGGACAAAGTTTGTATTTAAAGACTGCTGATTCCTTCAGAGGAACGGCAGACTTCGGCAGACAGAGTATTTCTAATATACTTGGTTGAACGGTTACCTCTTCAAGTTCCTATTCTTTATATCTTTCCATCGGAGCCTCCCTTAGCGCAGTATGCCCATAGGTTGTAGATCAACTTGTGCGCTACTCCTATTGTACCCGAAAGCATGATTAGCACCCCGGTGCGAACACGTTACATTTTTTTAACCTCAGCAAGTGGTTAGAAACTTGTGTGCAAGATCTCGGATCAACAGGCACAACCCAGCAAAGCTAGCACGAAGGCGGAGGAGCCAAGAGTGGCCCGCCTACCCCACCTACACAATAGACCCTCTCACGACGGGCAGTGGGAAACAGGTCTTCAGAGAAGGGCTAACGAAGCCCAAGAGACCAGGCCAAGCGAAAGGCCCGAAGGATGGGTTTGCGATCAACGATCCAGGAACACAGCAAGCAAGAGATCAGGCAGCTCAGGATTTCAAAGGATCCAAAGAAGAGTTCAGCCAACGAAGCCTATCCACGCCCAGAGGCTTTCCAGTTACCCCCGGAAAGGGAAAACAACCCGGAACCAGTGGAATGTCATCAAGACCACCTACAGAAGGTACAGGTGCGGCACCTGGCCCTGAAGAAAACGGTAGCAGCAGCAATAGCGACAGTGAAGGCAGCATGGCAAGCTCAGCAAGAGACCCACCCGGAGGTCCTCCAGGACCGCCAGACCCTCCCGCAGGAGCACATGGAGCTGGTGGCATGCCCGTCAAC